GAAAAATGTCAAAAAATTGATTAGCAAACAACTAATTTTAATAAAAAAGAAAAAATTTTGAGCAATTGCTTTTATCTTTGAAATAATTGATTGACATACTGTAAGATTTTTTTTTAAATTTTACTTTAATTATTTATTAGTACGAAATCAGTTATTGTTTTGACAGATTTAAGGAAAATTGATGAAAAAATGCTGTCATTTTTCCCAATGTTTGATGAGGAACAAACATTCGAAAATAAAAAAGAGGAAAAACGATGTGATTAAAGGGTTTGTTTTTTATTTATAACACATTTCAAGATACTTTTCATCATCATCAAATGTAAAACTAACTCATAAAAACTGAATTTAGAAAAAAAAATACAATACTTTATTCTTAGCTTGAAATTCAACTCAACAAATATCAAAATAGATTAAAGATCTAGGGAACAAAATACAATTAAGGAGACTGTAGGCTTGAAATAATAGAATGAGAGCCAAAGCTTAGACTAATTATTTCCACGACATGTTGTAAATAATAACAGAGAGGGGAAAAAAAAGTGTTTTACCTTTTCTTTCTCGCATATCATCTCATTTCTTCACTCAGTTCAAATTGATATCAGTCCATGTCATCTATCATAAGTAAGTTGTATCATCTTTGAATGCAATCTTTAAATCCTTCTCAAATCATATGCCACGAGTAAATTAATGTTTCCTTAGCCAAATGATGACGATGGGTTGAGGTCCTTTTCTTTTTTCTTTTCCATTTAGATTTTTGCATCTTTTTCAATTAAGATGTGAATTTCCATATTTTAATATTTAATCTCTACATTACAATAATCCGGAATTCTTTTTTAAATTTCTTTTTATATTTAATCCTTACATTTTAATATATGCATATTCAATAAAGCCATCCCGGAATTCTTTTTAGGATATTTGAAATGATAGGAAGTACATATAGCACATTGTAATGTTATCTTTTATTTGTATGATATCAAAACTTTCAGTCAAACTAAGGGTAATAAATCAGGATTTCCGGAGTGGTAAAGGCAACTGATCTAAACAAATGTTATTCTTTCCATCCATTCTAATACAAATCATTAAATGATCATTTTATTGAACCATTAACCATCCTTTGTAGTAATTTTCTCCTGCAGCTGTTTTACATATGTCTTCAGCTCAATAAGTTCACTTTCGGCTCTCCACTTTCGTTCTTTTTTTTTCTTTTATCTTCCGTTTTATTGGTATTTTAGAGAGATTGCATCATCCAGAAAATTCTTACGTTACCGGAATCCTTCATCATCCAAAAATAATTTTAATTCTTGGATATTCCGGGAGAAAAACTGAGATAAACTTAGGTTAATTTATTATCTCAATTAAGATATTAACAGAAAACATCAAAAAAAAAAATCTATGCGACATTTACTAACATGACAATATAGATTGATGTGAAATTATTCTCTGAGATATTTACAATAAAACTTTCTTCAATTAAATTCCACCTTAGCAAAACGATTAACCATCCCAATATTGGATAATTTAGGGAGGGCGCCTGTTGCTCTAGTTCCAATTGTCGTCCTGCTTATATGTTTACATTGCATTTAAGAAATAGATTAATATTTGTTGACAAGATGTCGCTTTATCGCTTTGCATTATCATTTATTAAGCTCGCAGCTTTTGAGGTCAAGAAATAAACGATTGCGGTTTTCAATTTTTGTCATTATTAGAATTACTCATTGATATTTACTGTAAATTTCCGTCTCCTATTGTCAACAGGATGATCTGATCCGGAATTCAGAAGTGTTAACTGTCTAATTCCTCGTCTAGGAAATAAAATATTCCATCAGCATTATTAGTAATGGTCGATCATGAAAGAAGGTAAATAAAACGGTAAAGAAAACGTATTGTCAATTTTCGTAAGACGAAATGGATTCCATTTATGGACAAATAGTATGTGAAAGTAACTTTATGAAATGTATTGTTCGACACCTAAGGAAAGAAGGCTTATGATTGGAGCCTTATCAAGATGAAAAATAAGAATTTTGCGATCTTTTCGTCAATTCAATTAGCAAACATTAAAAAGGGAAAAGATTCGAAATTCAAAGATTTGAAATTTACGCAACAATCACAGAAAAAAAAATTCTATGAACAATTTTTACAGTGTTATTGTTTTGAAATAAAAATATAATTAAAAAAGCCAATTACACAAAATTTTCATTATGAAATACTTAAATACTATGAAATGTGAAAATTCAAAGTTAACTATAATCCGGTTTAGTTTAACATATGAATCGTATTGATGGAATGATCAAAAGTAGTTATTACTAATCCTGGAATGAATTGCAACGATTAGATTTGAGAAGGAGGAAGAAGGAGAAAATATAAAAAATCCAAATAAAAAAAAAGATTAAAATTTAAAATATTATCCATCCAAACTTTTTAATTTTTCCCAATTATTTAAAGTATAAATTTTCAGAAACAAAGAAAAAAGAAAAAAAATGCAAACATTATGGAAATTTTGTTTCTTTTTTTAAGAAAAATGAAGAAAATAAAATTTAATTCAAGCATTCAATTTTATTTCACACATTTTACACGTATTATAAATTCATATATTTCCCCTTTTTTCAATCATTCCTTTCTCATACTAATTATCATTCAGAGCAATTCATTCTTCCACCTTCTTCTCTTTTTTCTCTCTTTGTTTTTTTCAGATAAAAGGAAAAAAAAAGACTTGCATTTTAATTAATGATAGTAGTCAGACTATTACAAGATGGGGTTTTTTTTTCTATGCAAAATAGATTACCAATGAATTGGTATTAGTTGAAATCCATGAAGTATCAAGTCATATTCAAAAATAGTCCAAAATTAACTCTCTTCAAATTCCGTCAAATTATATCATCTTCCAAATAATTCCTAAAAGCTTCAATTATAATTAATGTATGAAAACTTAAAATAATTGAAATATATTATTTGGATTGAAATTTTTAATTCCATTTCATTTCTTATATCAATCCAACAAAAAAATCCCATTATTCATGAATAAATATATAGTAGAATGATGGAATCATAGGTAATAATTTGAATAAAAATGCATTTCCTGTAGTTTTGATTTTTTGTGCATTATGTTCAATTTCAACAGAGCTCACACAAAATACAACATATTCATTGACATTCAAACTTTATATTCCTCCTTTGTCCCCCTGTCTCCCTCAGTCTTCCTCCTATATACCTCATTTGTAATTTGACGTTTGGGAATGCTGAATAATTGTTGTTTTATTTGATTCGAATCATTGTGTCCATGATTTGGATGGAGCAAAGAAGTAGGAAAAAAGAAGGACTGGGTTAAAATGCACTGCAATATTGGGCCAGCAGATGAAAAAAAAGAGAGCCTAGGCCTATGGCTCTGAAATGATGAACAATTTAAGCGCCCTTCGCTTTTTTTTTATTTAAAAATTCACGGAAATGAAGCATCAAACAAACATCCAATCATTCATTTTCCTCATTTTATCTTCATTCCTTACTTTCCATTTCAGAAAAAGAAAAAAGCCGTAAAAACATTTTGATTTATTTTAAATAATCATAATTTTATTTTGTGATTTCAACAAAAATGAAATTTCATTTCGTAATCTCAACTTAATTTCTTCCAATAATACCCAACTGTCGCTACCGTAATCTCGACATCATTGCAAGGTTTAGTAATGTGAAGTACCGTAGAATTGATAGCATTCTAATCAGGGTTATAAATATGACTTGTTATCAACAACATTAGCAACGTTGATCATCATCATCATCATCATCGTCATCATTATCATTAACATTATCATCAGTATCAGTTGGACTATCATTTTTAGACTACCTTCTCTTTATAATTTTTAAGTAACATCCAAATATTTCTTTTATCACTGTCTCTTTATCATTGCACTTATCTTGAGTAATTACTTTAAAAAATTATCATTTTCTCGTATCCTTTCTTCAATTTAAACATTTCCTTTGTATTGATCTTATCAGTTGGCTTAATTACTTCCTTCTCAATAATATTTTTTGATTATTCATATTGTCAATAAAATTATTCGTACTATTATTAAAACATTAATAACCTTATTACACTATCATTTAATATTAGAAAGAGAAGAACACTTCATAGTGCAACAATAGCGCCAATAAGATTAATTCAAAGTTTATTTAAGATTAGAGCAGCTGACAGCGAAATTACCAACTGTACCACTTCATTAATTTAGTGCTGTGTAATTATTTGTGAATAACAAAAGTTTTAGTGATAGAATGAAACCATTTTCCACAAAGTAGACAATGCAAAGAGACAGGCATATGAAATAGCCGAATGGAAGTTTAATTTGATGGACAAAGTGTCCTGGAATTATGACACAAATACACCCTGCTAAAATGTACAAAGGATACCGCTGGTACCATTAACAGTACCATTGGTCTGATCTGATCTGGTTAAGTGGTTAGACAGCTATCATACTTGTCCAATATCTCAGTCTGTTCCAATCTATCGTTTGCACATTTTTGCTTTCAAGAGACTGATCACATTTGCCAAATTTCATAGTTAATGAATGGATAGAATTAAGTGATTTTTCTGAAGTTAAATTAAATTTTTTATTAAAACTTTTAAAAGTTAAGGGAATAGTTAAAAAATTCAGTTATTCACATGATCAGTTATATGAAATGGAAATTGTTCAATTGATATTATGGCATATACTTTTATCTACTAAATTAGCAGGATAAAAAAAAAAAGACACTTGTCAGGTGATTATTAAAGTGACTGTCACTACAGAATACGATTAATTAATAAAAATGAAATAAAATGAAATAGTTTAAAATGGAAAAAAGTGTAATGGAAATCAATATCTATAAAATGGAAATGTGGAAATGCATTATTCGTTTTTAATGGATTACTAAAAAGTGTGAAAGGTTTCCAGGAAAAAAAAAAGGAAAAAATGAAAAAAAAACGAAAAAAATTTTAATTTGTTGATAAATTTTTGGAGGAATGAATAATAAGCACTTAATTTATTTAATAGTGTAATTAACTTACACCACTGACTATTTCTAATTGATGAAGGCACATTGTTTGGCATCGTGCATTGAGTAGTTCGTCGGTGACAACTGTTACAGGTAGTAATGATAGAAGAAGTAATAGAAGTGCGATTAATCTCGCAAGTTGCTTGATTGTAATTATTGAGATTTCCATCTGAAATGAGAACTTAATTTTTGAATTGAAAACAATTTGGGAAATATTCACTTATGAATTACGACAAATCATCAAGAAGATTTACCTAAGCTATAGGTATATGTTAATGAATACGTACAAAAATTTAATCTGAATAGATGAATATTCAGCTAAGATTATAAATACATAATAAGAAAACAGAAACTAAGAGCTAATTTTTGGTCTGAAAACAATTCAGAATGTAATTGGAAACATGCAACTTATAAAAATGTCATCAAAAAGGTTTATAATTGGTAAACAAAGAATTCGAATATTTTATTTGATAAATATCAACAAATATAAAATGTATTTTCCATCAAAATTTACAAATTCATAACTCAATTAATGTTGTATATTTATTACAAAATGTATTAAAACATATTTAATGACTCCAAAAATTTACTTTTACCTATATCACATCAGTTTATCTAAGTAAAATTTGTCGTGAAATTTATCAAAATTAATCCTCACGCGGATATAACCTTTTGAATAACTTTCGATTTAAATTTAATATCAGTAATGAATAGTATATATTAGTACAAGAGATGATTGAACGATAATAACCTTTACCTAACAAATTAATTATTTTTAATAACTTTTGCATTTTTGATATTGGTAGAATGTAAAATTCTAAACTATAAAATTCATAATGAAGTAATGGGAATCAACTAATTCTTAGATCGTTTTCTCGGCCCTTCTCATTCCCTTTTATCTGAGAGGTCAACTAATTCCCACGTTATTTTTTCGCCCTCTCTCATTCCCGTTCATACAAGTATTTTTCATAACTGAAATGCCCACCAGATGCAAAGTCCTCGACCATTTATTACTAGCAATGATGCGATCGTCGTGATGATGCTCGGAAGGAAATGGCAACGGTGAGGAACGGAAGGCGGAGTTCCTCTTCTACTTCACCTCCCTTCCGCTACCGCACGTGACTCCGCCCTGGTAAGATGCGTTGTAATCCCATCAACTTATTACTAACTAGCAGTTTTCCCGGTGTCATCGATACCGCGGCTATCATGAGGAGTTTTGATACCGTCAATGGTGCCATTCTTCGTCTCTTGCTACCGCCATTTGACTTTACTACTGTTACTAGATTGATACCATTCTCTATCTTTTGCTACTGTTGCTCACTTTGATACCTTTATCAGCCTTAATACTAGGAGGAGTCATTATATTGTTACTAATGCTCTTGTTGGTACCATCACTACCATAACCAACACTTTTGCTGATGCTATTATAATCACTGCTATCACTGCTGCTATATTTCTATTCTTTTTGGTGAATTAACCGTTGTTCCGGATAGAATAACAGGTTTTTTCCTCCGAAAATTGGATGAATGAGTGAATGGACAATAAGAAATGTACCCATATTGTCACAGTGATGCATTACAATTTGATTGGTTCAAAATTAAAAGCAATTAAGCTATCAAATGTCATTCGTCTTTGTTTGCCCAAAATTGCGAGCGAATTTCTTAAAACAAATTTTGGCAAAAGTGACAGAAATAATAAAATTAAAATTTACAAAAGTACATCAAATGATGGTCGCCAGCAAATGACCTCATCTTTTGAAGTGAATCTTCTTTTCTTTTTTCATGAAATGAATTGCATTCAACCTCGAAATACTTTTTTTTTTCACCTAAAACTGATTTAATGCGAAAATGACAACGTTTATTTAATATTAAAACAAAACGGAATTATTATTATAATAAATTATCAAAGAGTCTTAAGTGATAACTGTCAAATATATCTAGAGATCAATCAGCATAGTTATTTAGTAGATAACAACATCGATCCTTTTTTGGAAAATAATTTTAAAAAAAGAAAAAAATTTCAACTCACTAACCAATTGCAAAAGTTTGTAAAGTTACAAAAGGATGAGATTCAAATGACCATTGAAATGAAAAATCGAATTTTTGAAAATGTCTTAGTCTGACTCTCATAGACGGGCTTTTTCGTGTTTTAAACTATCACTACTAAATTAATTAGGGTTATTAATGATATTATTATGCTATTGTTATTACTGTTAACCAAATTGGTAACAAATTAGTCAGATATTTTTATTGATTTTCTATAGTGGTAAAGCTGTCCTGAAATATAATCAAATTTTTGTAAAATTACAATGATAACTATTCCTGCATTCAATTCACTCTATCACGGTACTTGTTGCTTATCACTATGATGGTAAAGGCTTGAATCAAATTGTAATCTAAATTATAACTGCGGTAGTTCTAATTATCACTACCATCATTCATCCGTATTTACAACTCAGTTGTAATTAGTCTAATTAGGGAAAGATTATTACTCATATCTTTTATCGTTATTGAAGGGAAGTTTTCTTATTTTACATTCCCGTTTTAATGTAAGGAAAGAAAAGTTTTTTATTTATTTACAAATTTATTGCTAAAATATGTAAATAAATAAGCACACATTTTGAAAATTACGAAGAAATTCCGATACATTTAAATGATTAGTTAATAGTAGTAATAGTAG